GCGCCGAAGAAATTGGAATCGCCCTGATCCCTTCAGCAGGGTCAGACCCCACTCTTTGTCCATTCCATGTCCCAGTCCTGTCCCTAGGATCGGGAACCTGCCTTGCTCTTCTTGGAGCACGGGCCCTACCTCTAACTCCTCTCACCATGGTTGAGCTTCGAAGAAAAAGTCGAAAAAAGGGGAAAGAGTTCGAATTCGAAGAAAAATAAACTAAAATCAAAGGAAATTACCTTGATCTGAAGAGGAATTTGCCGATATACGAGTTGGTAGTGACGAATTTCAGTTTCTAAGCTTAATGCTCGGGGAACTTGCGAAGTTTTGACGCGGGTTCTTGGGTTTTCTCGAGAATTCTGGGTTTGTGTTTGTGAAGAAGTGAGGAGAGATGGTGCGCCTCTTTGATTATATTTCCAGAAATGGGAATTCTGGGAGTCCGCGCTTTAATTTCTCTTAAATACCCCACTAAGTAACCGTTAAACACACGTTCCCTTGATTAACCGCCCATTATCTGTCTAACTTCCACAATTATCCATCCAACCGCCGTTATTTCATTAATTGCGGTTTAAATTCAAATGTTTTGGATTAATTAAATCATTTACTTCCCTCCTTTTTCTGATTAATTATACCCGACCCGTCATACTTCCAAATCGGGTCTGGGGGACAAGTTGTTTGGGTCCAATTTAGTCCAATTGGGCCTAGTCATTAAATGATCCAATTAAAAGCCCAAGGTCAAGGTTCATCGCTCAAATTGTGCTAAAGTCAAGATCAGTCCACAAGACAAGTCAATTGGGCCAAGGCCCACTTCTCCCATATATGCAAAGGTATAAAAGCCATCAATATCACATTTGTACATTTATGCACAAAAAGCCTCAAGCAATTAATTCTCTTGCATAGCTTTCTCTCTCTACACATTGTACTGACTTTAGCATCGGAGGGGTCTTCCTCGGCAACACCCCCGAGGCTAGTTTACGTGTGTTTGCTGTGCAGGAAACCCTCGGCCCAACATCACTTGGACCGAGCCTAGTCTTCATCCACTACATTGGACCTTCGGCTAGGTCCCATTGTTTTCACCCGAAACATATACGATCTTTCTTTTTATATGGGTTGCTTTCTAAGAATATATCATATTCATTGGCAGTTAGGCACCATGTCAATTGATTATCATACTCTTACTCAAATAACAATTCTTCAAAATCAAAACTTTTCTTAGAATAAAGAAACAACTATTAGTTCTTATTCTTTTTTAATGCTTAATCATTCTATACGAAATTCTTAAACAAAGATATCAAAGCTAACGTACTTATTCTACATTATAATTTTATTAATAGCCTTTTAAAAGTAAGATATGACTCCCCTATTTTTAAAGGTTGTAAGTAAAGCAAACGAACATTCATTTAATAATATGGACGACTTCTATAGAAAAGAAGGAACCTCGAATATTATATCATCGCAGTCCAAAAATATGATAAGAATTTTCCTTTTTTTTTTGTATAGAAAACGAGTTTTTATCCCATACATATTATATTAAATGAACTAGTCTTTTCTCGTCAAAAAAAAAAAAATGAACTAGTCTTTTGACCCGTTCGATACACGAGTTGTTACTTGGATAAACTATTTTCAAATAAAAGTATACTTTTCATAAGTTGAAACTTTTGATTTAGTATACGAAGTAATTGTTTCATTGCTAAAACTAAAAAAAAAAAAAAAAAAAAATGGTTAGAGTAGAACTTTGAAAGAAGATGAAGGATTAGGTATATATACACGAAGATTGTTGAATATGAAATGACGTATTAGTTTAAGTTATATTTTAAGTGTAGGAGATGAAAAGACAATTTTGATTTAATTCATATGTTTTATGTAATACGTACTAATTATGGTGGAAACGAAACACTTCATTTTCTTTCTTGAATTTCCAAGTTATAGAATGCATAAAGACTTGAACAAAAAAATCAAGGGAAGTGACATATGGCATATGAGGTAATGAGTGAGTTGTGATGACATGTGTCATGTGAAAAATATGTGGTTTGTGTTTTATATACTAAATATAGATAGATATAGATGTTCTTCTCATTTTCTTTTGACACATTTGCCTAATTAGGTTTTTTTAAATTTATCAAATTTTTAAAAAATTTAAGAAGTGTGGCTGCTGGGATTCGAGCCCAGGTCTCCACGGCCACAACGTGGAATTCTAACCACTAAACTACAGCCACATTTTTGTTATTTTTCCCTGTAAAATATAAATATATTACGCTTTGTACATTGCAACTCACACACCATTGTTGACTGAGCTAAGGAATATGGTGATAAGATTCTGCAAATTGCGCCAATTGCGTAGATTTTTAATGGACAGATTCTTTGTTACTTAACTTGATTGTCTTTGACAAGTACTAAACCTTTTGTTTGTCTTGTAACTCTTTTTTTTTTTTAGCAGAATTGTTTGTCTTGTAACTCTTTCTACAATAATTGGGGTATAAACTTTCAATTTGGGATGGCTTTTGACCCATTTTCATTATCTTTGAAATTGAAAGTTTGATTTGGAGGAATTAATTTTTTTTTAAGGAGTAAGAGGTTGCATTTATACTTTAAGTAAGATTAATTTTTTAGGAGTATGTTGAAATTTAGTTTTTAATGAGTAATTTTGTTAGTAAAAGATGAATGACTTTTGTCTTGTATCGGAATAACATTAATCATCCTTAAAATTATTTTATTGGGAGTTTAAAATGTAAGAAAGATCATTAATTAAGCTCTAGATACCATATAAATGAATTGAGTATGTGAGAAGTAGTTGATACTCTCATTGAGTTTATCATGTGCTACGTATTTAATTATTTATACAACCTAAGAAGTAATGTAATCTAGGTTTACAATAGATAATAACAAAATATATATAATTAAGAGAAGATTTTTTTGTCAAAAAAAATTAAGAGAAGATTCAGATCTAACTACTTTAGACTTGGCCATCGGTATCATTAATTGTTACCGAATAATAGTTTGCATAACTAATAAAGATCACTCTACAAGTCGAGCAATTAAAATGTTGGCTACTAATTTACTTATTCAAAACGCAAAAGATGAGAATATGGACATTTTGTGCCTCAATTAAAATCATTTGTATTGTCTGAATATACTTAAATCTAAATTGGTTATTTATGCTCTTGTTAGTACATGTATATTGAATACAAGTATGCTATTGGGTTAAACTCAATTACTACGATTTAACTCATATTTAGAGCTTTTAATCTATGAAAATCAACCAATGTGGTGTGCACAAATTTTATATTGATGTTAGATACTGTAATTTGTCGTACAAACAATTTCAAACAAAAGTTGAAAATTTCTTTAAAAAAAACAAAAAAAGTTGAGATGTTCCACCAAACAAACAAACAAAAACGAGATTTGAAATCAGATTTAAATCATCCAACTTCGACAAATTTGTACTAGTCATATTTATTTGTTTAAGGCCAAAAATAAATAAAATTTTGATTCTCATTTATGACCCCAATTAGTTAAGACAAGAAACGTGTTCGAGTATATTTTGGCAACTATGGGGCTAGACCTGGCAAATGGGTCATTCGGGTCGGGTATGAGTCGGGTCATTTCGGGTCGGGTCAAGTTCGGGTCAAAAGGTTATCGGGTCACGTTCGGGTAGGTCGGGTTATTTCGGGTTTCGGGTTGATTACGGGTCGAGTGATAATCGGGTCGGGTCAGGTATCGGGTCAACACTTCAGGTCGAGTTTGGGTCGGGTCAGTTTTCGGGTTGGGTCAGTTCGGGTCGGGTCAATTTTCGGGTCAGGTAAACTTCTAGTCGAGTCATATTAGGGTAATTCATTAGGTTAAATTCAACTATGTATATATATATATATATATATATATATATATATATATATATATATATATATATATATATATATATACATATTTTTTATTTATTTTTTTTTTTTTGACTAAAAACTCACTATATTTATTAAGGCTATTTTTTTCATGGATTATAGTAATTGTTTGACTTTCATTAACCTTTTTTTTTTTTTTTTTTTTGTGTGTGTGTGTTTTTAGACTGAGAATCACTTTCAAGATCTCCTGAAACTAAGAGGGATGCTCAAACTAATTGAGTTATACCTCACTCTCTCATTAATCTTAGTTTTAATACGAACTCTGATTATCATTGTCATTGATCTTAGTTTTAATACATGCTCTGAGAGGGATGCTCTAACTAATTGAGTTATACCTCACTCTCTCATTGATCGGGTCACTATCTCATTGTTGTAATACATACTCTTATTATCAAAAATTTAACATTAATACATACTCTTATTTGTCATCGGGTCATAGGTAAAGGTAGCAACTATGATTACATTTAGGGGGCGTTTGGTTTGAAAAGTGGAAACGGAGTGGAAAGGAAACAAATAAGAGGGGGAAAAGGAATCATTTAGCTATTACCTTTTAATTTGTTTGGTTTAACCATAGAAAGGGTATTTGTTAAGAGGAGGGTAAGGTATTTGTTACCACAAGTTTTTGAGAGGTAACAAATAAGGGGTAATCATTACCCTTAGGTAATGGTAATTGTTACCATGTCTTCAAACCAAACACATAGTAACGGTATTGGTTTAATCGAATCCGTTTCCAATTAAAAAAATACACCAACCAAACTAAAAGCATGTTTGAATACGTTTTCAAATCTTTGAACTTTAATCAAAGGGAAAACAGACACTTTGGAGTTTTTTAAAAGTACGTTTTTAATTCTTTGAACCTTGTTCTTAGGAAAAACTGATGATTTTGAGCATTCTACAAAAGGGTTATTTGAGTATAATTTCAAACTTAAAATCGCAAATTTCCAATAAAAGGCTTTAACACATGAAATGGTTCAAAAGCAATAATCTGCAAATTATGGTCACATTTAGCACGACAAAAGTGCTTACCTTTCTCAACTGTACCAATATACATTGTAATTATTGTAACAGAGTAAAAATAATGAGTACCAAATTACTAACTAAGGTCTATAAGACTAATAATAGTAATAGTAATAATCATATAAAAGTCGAATGATATAATCCGAGTACACTTTTAAATGATGTTATGTTCCATAATTGGAACTACAAAGAAAAAAGCATCCGAAATGATAACAATGGTGAAGAAAAACACGACTACAGAATAACAGCCATCAGGATGAAGACCTGAATCTTATTGAATAAAAAAGATAACCACAAATACGAAATTGAAAAGGTACTAATAATCCTTTTCTTCTTCAATTATCTCCTCTTTCCAGCAGCATTTCAGAGCTGGCTTTGGCTTAGGGGCAAATCGAGTTGCCTTGCAGAACTTCTGGTAGAATACAGAAGAGTCGCCAAATCCGAGCTCCTCAATGCCTCCCTCTTCACGACTGTAACCGTTGACGTTAACGAAACAGTTGTGCTCCATAGAGTTAGCAGCAATCTCAGCATGAATAGCAATGCTAAACTCGCTTGGTTCAAAGCAAGCAAGAACCCTCTCCACCAGCTGGTTCAGATCAATCTTCTTAAGGTCATAACCCACAGCTTCAAAGCTAGCGTAACTGAAACCATCTTCAGGGGTAATGTGAATGGTGGAGATAGCAGATCCTTCAATAGCATTCATAGAGTAACCACAGGGTTCGAAATCAAAGTCACATATCTTTGAGTCTGGAAGAATTTTGCGAATTCCAGAGCTCTCTGTCATCACAGCAGCATTCGGCGATTGAGATTTGAAGAAGACAGAAGCCCTCTCCTTGTTAAGTCCGGTCATGCACATCTCAAGAGTATAAACAGGGGCATCAAAGCTGATCGTTTCAGCTGATGCAGAGTAAACATGCCATTTCTGGGGCTTTGCGGAATCCCCCATAACAAAAGCCTTGCTGCCGGCCGCAAGCTTACCAAAGTAACCATCAAGGACAGCCACTTCCTCAGAGAAGCTCCGGTGAGGGTAAGATTGGGCACCCGGGAAAATAAAACTGCCACGGGTGTAACGAACAGATTTCACGTCAAGGGAAAGGCTTTCAGCCAACTTCAAAATAGGTGGGATTGCACGGAGCAGCTTAGTAGTCCCACAAGTCTTAATGATGATCTTGTATGCGTACACAAAGAGGCTAGACTCAGAAAGAACGTAAGAGTCTACATCATCATTTGCAAGTGAATCAACAATGGTGCACTCAGCAGGGCCAAGAATCTCATCCAACTGTGCTTTAGCCAAAGCACGGAGACCCTTCCCTTCAGGATCGACAAAGATACTGGGCTCAAAGAACGAAATCTCTAGCCTCTTCTCAAACCCTTCGAAACCAATAGCAGAAATTGCCATTTCGTTGTTGTTAGTGTTGTTGTTGTTGTCTCCAGCCATGGGAACCGTCATGACTACGTATACTAGAAGAACGCCTTACAGTCGCAAAGAGGAAGTCGAAGTACACAGGAAAGAGGAAAACAGAAGAAGAAAGGGACTTAAAATCAAAAACAGCAATAACTAAAAAAAAAAAAAAATGACCACGTCTAGCGGTCGAGCGGAACACTAGTTAGGGAATATCAGGATGGTTTGCGAGCGCACTGCAAAACAGAAACAGAAACAGAAAAAACCCGTAAGTTCGCAGCGATTTCGTATAATCCATTGAATACAATTGAATGCAACAAAAGGAGCTTACGTTTGAGTAAGCAGCTGATCTGAATTTCTTGATTCCTCCCTTTGGTCGAACGTCTTCAATGCTGTAGGCGAGTGGAGCGGCGTATAACAAGGATTTACTACTACTACTACTAGAATCGTCTTTACCACCTTTAGATTCCATTAGAACATTCACTCTTCACTGATAAAACCCAGAAATTAAATGTTAGCATATAATCGGACTATAAATTCAAAAAAATACACAAACATGAACATAAATCTGATAAAAGCAAACATCAATTGCAGCACCAGAGTATATGGATTAGTGAGATTGTGAGAGATTAATATGCAAACATTATTCATGCAAATTAGAGAGATTAATAAGTTGCAAATTCATAAATATAATTCATGCAAATTGAAGAATTAAATTTGAAAATTCATACATGATAATTATCTTGAACAAATTTGAGGAAATTGTTGGTTGCCTGAATCTATATTCATTAATTCTAGTCAAATTTATACTGCAATTATTATTAACATAATAACAAAGAACTTGTCAAATCAAACGGCGGACAACGTCATATTGACAGCGATTTATCAAATTAAAACCGACTTGAAAAACTCAAACACGAAAATTGCGCAATCTCATATCGCTTTCTCAAATTAAAAACAATTTCTACGATTTCAGAATTTGACAAACCAATTGAAAACAATCTAATTAATCAGATCTATAGAGATGAAACGATAAAAAGAAAATTAACAAAACGATAAAAAAAAATTCTAAAAACGATAATCATCAAATCGCATGCATCATATTATCGATGTTAAAAACCCTAAAACAATTCTAATAAAATTGGAAAAAAAAAACAAAAATCTAGATCTAAAGAAACAATCAAAATAGAACTCGCATAATCATAACGAAACAATAAACATCATGAAAGATTGAACAGAATTACAAAAACAACAAAAGCAACAAAAACAATGAAATCAAATCAAGATATAAAAACAGAAAATAAATCGAAAGGAATTGAGAAACTTACAGATTAATGGAAAATCAAAGAATGAACCAAAATCAGTTCCCAGAACCACAAATCGGATTATCCAGAAAAACAAAGATTCCGAAATAATTACGAAATAATTGAACCCAAAAGAAAACCCTAGGAGAGAGAAACCAAGGCAAAAGTATATGATGAGAAGATGATTAAGAAATTGAGAAATGCGGCTTTTGGAAAATTGGCAGGCTTTCTTTTGCAATTGAGATAAGTAAGCAAGCAGGTTAGGTCTTTATATAAGGGAAAAGGAAGTGTAGACAGCTGTGAAAGGGTGAAAAGACGGTCATACCCTTGAGTTTCCGTGGAGGCTACTCAGCCGTGAGTTAGGGGTATAATTACGGAATTTATCCCCTATTTATTTTCCTGGATTTTTTGTGGCTCAACACGTTGCTTACATCTTATTGACTATGGGATTAGTGGCCCTCGTTGCTTCGCATGACTGTATAAGTCTTTTTTTTTTGGATTTTATTATCATTGGTAATTTTTTATTTTTTGGGTATAATGGTAATTAAATAAATATTGCCATAAACTTGTAGGATTCTCTAGAGGAATACGAGTACTTTTATTTTTAACCTTTGTTCAAGATTTATGAATACATGGGTCGGTCCATTGCTCATGTGACCCTGTCTTCATTCGCCATTATTTGATTATAATATTATCTATAAAAAAAAAATGAGTACTCCCAATTTTTGTATTTTAAACTTTATTTTTGGATTTATTGAAACTAGAGTATACCCGTGCAAAATGCACGGGTTTTGTACGGGATATATACTCCGTATTATATTAGAGAGATATTAAATAGGAAAAATTGACATGAATATTATGACCTTTGTCCGGTCCGCCATAAATAAAATCACCTTTTGATAATCCTCCAATAAAACGACATTTGCACATGATCTTCCATAAATGGGACGAAACTGGTTGGTAACCTGATTAATGGGTTGATATGACACGTGTCAATTTGTAATTGCTTAATTGTTTTTTTTTACAATTTTTTTAAATAAAATGATTTTAAATTACCAAAAAAAAATCCCCCATTCTCTAAACCTGGTGGTTTGGTATGGGCGGTGGCCTGATTTTTAGTTGCTTTGCACTGATTTTTGTTCTATTATTAGGCCCAAATTGATGCTTCTTGTGCGAGATGTTACGATGTTGTGGAGTTGATGGCCGGTGTTGTTAATGCGGTGGGTTGATGTTGTTGTTGGTCGGCGTTGTTGCGGGGTGATGGAGGAGTGCAAGGGCTGCTCTTGGTGGTGTTGCGGGGCTGCTTTGTTTGTGGCAATTGGGCTTGCAAGTGCGGCTGGTGGAGGTAGGTGGTGTGAACGGTGATTGGTAATGAGGGCGTGGATTATTGCGGCTGGGCAGTGATTGCTGCGGACTGGCAATTACTGTTGGTGAGGCTGGTGTTGCGGGGGGAGGGGGGGAAGTGAGGGAGCAGCGAGTGGAGTCAGTAGTGCGTGAGAGGGAGATGTGGGGCTGCAGTGGGCGGGGTTGCGGTGGGGTTGCTGCGAAGGGCTGGTGGCGATGCAAGCTGAGGTGGCTGATGGGGGATTGGTGCCCTGGTGGCGATGGTGGTGCTGAATGGGGAAGGGAGGAGGGTTTTTTTTCACAAGTTTTTTTTAAAATTTTTTTAAAAGAAATATGTTAAATTAAAATTAAAAAATTCTTTTATCAAAATATAAAAAATAAAAAATTCTAACCAATCGTAATGTGACACGTATCCTTCATTAACCTATTAAACAAGTTGCCGGGTTTTTATCCTATTTTTGGAAGATGATATGCAAAGGTCATTTTATTGGGGGATTATCAAAAGGTGATTTTATTTATGGCGAACCGAGCAAAGGTCATAATATTCCTGTCAATTTTTCCTATTAAATATTGTTTCACAAATATTACACCATATCCATTTTAGGAAAAAAATTATTTGTGTTTACACTATAAATACCTAAAATATCCTTGATTTTCAACACTTACATTTTATTTTGTGTTTACTATCTAGGCAACTTTGTATTTCTACCTTTTTCTCTCTCATTTTTTTGCACTACCAAAAAATTTGTGTCAATCTCTTATGGTGCAATAATAAAAAAACGGAGAAAGTATATAATATAAGAAAAAAATATATTTAAAATACGGGAAGTTGATTTTGATGTTAACTTAGACCTTATTTTTTTGAGCTGTTATTGTCTTTTGTGTACTTGTGGTTTGATTTGCTCTGTTGAAGCTATGCTACTGAGTATCAATAATCTGCGAACACTCGTTCTGGCTTGCTGACATTTCTCTCCTCTGTTGAAATCTGATGCTCTTTGCTCTACTTAAAAGAACATGGTCTTACTCTTACCGGTGGCCATGCAATGTGGCCAGCTATTATGGGATTTACTTTGTCAAAGTTATAGAGGTTACTCGTTCACTATTATAGGGGTTACTCGGTTAGTGTCATAAGGCTTATTCCTTCAATGCTCTAGGAGTTACTTTCATATTTTGCAAGCAGTTATTCGGCGAGGCCAGTCATGCAAAAAGTGTGCTGTATATTTTTTTGTGTTAATAATTAGAGAAGGATGTTGTTTAGAGGGTTGTCCCTAAAAAATGTATGTAATTGAAGAGTTGAGGATTTTGAGTGTTATGGTTAATTGTTGATAATAAAGAAATTGTATACCCGTGCTAATGCATGACATATATAATACTGCGTTCAAATAAAGAAAACACACACATACACAAGTGAAATCTTATTAGTAGTCCCTTGGAAAAATACGAAAGAAACAAAAAAAAGTGGTATGTGTAGTTATTGTTTTTTTTTTTTTTTTTAAAAAAAAGGTTTAAAAATCTAATATATATATAAAGTAAACATTTTTGGAGAGCATTGGGAGCGCCACATAAGCAAAGGTATATTTTTGACCAATTAAAAATTAGATTTCTATTTTATTTTAGAATTAAAAAATTCACTTGCCACCTACATAAAAGTGACAAATGAGATTTAAGAAATTTAGCCACATACGTAAAAAAACAACGAATAATGATTTATTAGGATTTAATTTATTTAAAAAACTAAAAATTATCTTTTAAAAAAAATCATCTTTAGATATAGGATTTATATATCTAAGATAATCTTTACAGTGTTTATAATAAGAAATAAAAATTATTCCTTAATTATAATTAAATTAAAATTTGTGATGCCTACCACTATAAATTGACGCATCCTACAACACCAATAAAATTTCATATCAATACAAAACCAAATCAAGCGAATTTTGTTTCAGTTGTGTCAGTTTTATGTCATCAATGGTTGCGTAATTCTTAGTTTAATTTTTAAAATCCATGTTTAAATGTAAATTTGTGATTATTGCTTACATTGTGTTTCTTTAGAATACTTAATGATTATATGTTTATTTTTTATTTACTGAATTTTGTTTTTACATGTAGATCTAATATAATCAGATAATTAAATTCGAGCAAAAATTATTTGAAAATCAAAGTACGAAGAGGTATTACATCTTTATAAATCGTTTACATTTATTAAATTTTTTATAATCCTTTTTAGTTTTTATTAATTAATTATATGATTAAAACAAATTTTATTGATTTAGGTAGCATAATCAAGTCATCAAATTAACTTAATTTTTATTTTTAATTACAGGGTGATTGCGTTCATGCCGCAATTAAAGCCAACTTTGTACAATTTCGTCCAAAATTAATTGAAAGAAAAGTTTACGCCATTAGATATTTTTCAATCGTTACAAATAAGAAGCAATATCGCAAGCATTGTTAGTGACAACAAAATAATGATTTAATTTTTTAAAATACTATTGTTCGGGCGATTGAGGACGATGAAAAAATTCCAATGAAAAATTAGATTAGTAATTTATTTTAGAATTAAAAAATTTACTCGCCACCTAAGCAAAAGTGACGAATAAGATTTATGAATTTTGACACATAGGTAAAAGGAACGAATTGAGAATAATTAAAATTTAAATTATTTTTAAAAACCAATAATTATCTTCTCTTAAATTTTTTTTTACCTAAGTAATAATTATCTTTTTTACATATATGGATGCAAATTTTTGATCGCAAATATATTTAATATTTCTCTAGCAAATACTAGATGTAAGCCTGTGCGATGCACGGTTTATAAATATTTCATTTTGTAAATTTTTTTTTTTTTGTAATTTCTTAATATTTTTTGTTTTATTTTCTATTCTATTATTTTAACATTAATTTAAGGTAAAATATTTTGTTAAGTTTTAAATTATTCTTATACAAATTTTACGTATATAGATTTGAATTTATAAATTGAAATAAATATTATCTCATTCATCGGATAGTTAGATAAAATCATTAAATCAAAATATATTTTTTAATTTCTAATTATTGTTAAAATAATATAAATCCTAATGTAAAAGATAATATAAAAGATAATTTTTTTTTCATAATTTAAATCTTAAATTACTATTTTTTGTTTTCAATTCTCAAATTTCATTTGTTAATTTTTTCTTAAATTGCGACTGAAAATTAAAATTCTAAATTAATATATAAATCTAATTTTTCATTGGTCGAAATATTATGTTTGCTTATGTGGCGTGCGATGCACGAATTTTTATATACATTTTGTATATAAATATTTTTTTTGGTTATCTCTTAATTTTTTTCTTGCATTATAAGTTTTAAAATTTTGTATGAAAGTATTATATCATCAGATATTTATATAAAACCATTAACATCAAATGATAATTTATATTTATTAAATATCAAAATATAATGTTTAGTTTTTAAAATAATATAAATCCTAATATGTAAAGATAATTTTTAGTTTTGTGACAAATAAAAATGATAAAATTTAGTGTTTTTAAATAATTAAAATCCGAATAAATTACTATTCGTCGTTTTTAACTATGTGGCAAAAATTTAAAATTTCATTCGTCACTTTTGTTTAGGTGGCCAGTGATTTTTTTAATTCTAAAATAAAATAGAAATCTAATTTTTAATTGGTCGAAAATATACCTTTGCTTATGTGGCGCGCCGAATGCTCTCTAAAAAAGCCTTTTTTTATTTATATAATATATTAATTAATTATAAAAGTTTTATTTTAATAATGTATTCATAGAGACGAATAAAACTAAATCTTATATGACTAATTCCCAATAAATTTTAATAGTTAAACGATTATAAATGAGACTAATATTTTAAACATAATGAGTTTATTAAATAAACGCATAGGCAAAAGACTTATTTTGA